AAGATGCATTTTTACAACGGGGATTCCTTTTTACCCCCAAGATGCAAAAATTATGCAAAACATAATGTGGAAAAGCCTACTTGGGTGCCTAAAGTTCTCTGTGAGTCACAGCAAGATTACGTGGGTCATGTACTCTTGGTCACAGTGTCACGTGTGGTGCTGGTGAGTAGTTGTTTTTACGGGCTGTCACACAACATGATATCACTGGCCTGACACAGCAACTAAAGAAAAAGCAAAACAAAACAAACAAAAAATTTAAATAAAAAGAAAATGAAACATGACAATCTGCACACGATGACAACTCCATTTTAAGATATTCTCTGTTATATCAGTCTGTATCCGTTACCCGTGAGTAGTCTTTTCGGTTCATGCATTTCGGTGAAATGTCCAAATGTGAATAGTGGTTTTCGGCAAGCAGTCGTAGACCAACAATGTAGCCAGCTGAGCACATCTGAGAAGCTCGGTTGTTCCAAAAGAAGATCACGGGATCTCACCAGAGGAGATACAGTTGTTGAATGATGGGTTTGAACTTCGAATTACATTGAAATAGAGGATGCCAGTTTCTAACACACTGCACTGGCGCAAGGATATGACTGTGACAAACTGATACCAACGGAATAAAGAAGGGTTATGACGCCTGCCAGATTTAAGGTGGCAGTCTGGGTTCAGAGGGTCAAAAAACAAAGTTTCGATTTTCTGTATTTTTTCACTGGCAGCGTCTTGTGTATGGTCCAAAGGGTTTATCCTGAAAATTTGAGCGTAATCGGGTGCTTCCTTCCGGAGATATAGCCGCGCAAAGTCTGCACAATTGTTTTTTGAAATATCAGCAAATTTCTACAAAATTTAGGTTTGCACACTATTCCGATTTTTACCGTCAATCTTTGAGCGATTTCATTAAAATTTTCTGGAGCGACTCCTGGTACTCCTCTGCGCTGCAGACTGACAGCCGCGCACGATGTTTGTCACCATGGCAACCAAGATAACTTTTGCGCATGCGCAAATTCAAAAAAATTCAAATTTTGACTCTCATGATCTCAGCTGATCGCTCTGCTGTTACTTTTGGAGTAATTGTTTTGGAGTAATTGTTTCTTGGAGCTAACCCCTTCGTTGGCTACTATGGGGAAGTCTAGAGCCAAGGGAAAGCCCGGACGATCTAAGAAAAGGAAAAGAACGTTCTATGGAGTGTCTCAGGCGCCGAAGGCTCCCTCTGGTGAAATTTCGCCTGCAGAACAAATTCCTGACTTGCCACTGTCTGATGACGACCTTGAAGTGCCAGCTGAAGCCACGTCTTCAAAGAGCGATAGTGATGGAAGTGGCGGTGAAGTCGACAGCAGTTCCTCCGACAGTGACTTGGATGAAGAGTGTGAGGAAGGGGCGCATGGATTTCGCCTGATTGATCTCGAGTGCCTTCAGCAGCTTTTGTCAGCTGCAGTTTGTTGCAGTGGCTGTAATGGCGCAGTCACGATCAGCGAATCGCAACGGGGAGGCCTTGCATCATGCCTGGAGCTTTCCTGTGTTAACTGCGGCGACATAGCAAGCGAATTTATGTCCAAGAAGTTCAATCGGGTCTGGGAGGTGAACAGACGAGCAGTATTCGGAATGCGACTGATTGGCCGTGGACGTCAATCAATGGTAAAGCTGGCGGGTGCACTGAATATGCCATCACCTATGAGTCGGTCGACATTTTACAGCCATGCTAAAGGCCTGCATTCCGCGTCCAAGAGCGTCGCTGAGCGTAGCATGACTGAGGCAGCTGAGAAAGCAGTGTCCGCAGCAGATGGGGGTAGCGATATCGCTGCTTCCTATGACGGTACCTGGATGCGCCGAGGATTCGCATCGCTCTTCGGAGCCTTCACTATAATTGCATATGATGTCGGCAAAGTGGTGGACTGCGAAGTGCTTTCAAAGTTTTGCCACAAGTGCACGCACTTGGCGTCTAGAAAAGAGAAGGGAGAGCTAACCAAAGATGACTATGATCGACAGATTGCCGAACACGATTGCTCAGTCAACACCACTGTATCAGCTCCTGCCATGGAGAGTGCAGCCGCCAAGACTCTGTGGGCCAGGTCCTTTGAGAGCCGCAAGCTGAGGTACACCACCTACATTGGTGATGGAGATACCAAGAGTTTTAAGGCTGTGCGTGACGCTTGTCCGTATGGGCCCGAGGTGCCTGTAGTCAAGGAGGAATGTGTCGGCCACGTTCAAAAACGCATCGGTACCAGCCTAAGAAAGCTGAAGAAAAACCTTGCGGGCAAGAAGCTTGCTGATGGGCGCACTATAGGCGGACGTGGTCGCCTCACGGATGCCATGATCGACAAGCTGCAAGCCTACTATGGCATGGCTGTGCGGAACAACAGCGGAGACTTGCAAGCCATGGCCAGGGCCATATGGGCATCCCTCATGCATCGTGCATCCAGCGACAGTAAACCTCAGCACCAGTATTGTCCGCCTGGAATTAACAGCTGGTGTAGATGGCAGCAGCAACAGGCAGGTGGTGATGTCTACGCCCACCACAATATCCTGCCAGAGGCAGTATGGAAGGAACTGAAGCCGGTCTACATTCGGTTGTCCGACCGGAGTTTGCTCGAGCGCTGCCAGAAGGGTGCTACGCAGAATCGCAACGAAGCGTTCAATGGACTCGTGTGGCAGTTGTGTCCAAAGACAGGCTTTGCATCCGCTCCCACTGTCCAGATGTGCGTCTACCTGGCCGTGGCCTGGTTCAATGATGGAGGTGTGGCAGTGAAACGCGTTCTGGACGAGATGGGCCTCCCTACTGGACACCATACGACACGTCTCATCAAGCTGCTAGACCGTGAGAGACAGGCACATGCTGCCAGAAAGAAGTCAGAAGAAGGGAAGAGGTCACGAAAGAAGCGAAGGAGGATCAGGAAGGGCATCCAGGATGAGCAGCAAGAGGAAGAAGGTTTGACATATGAAGCTGGTGGCTTCGACTAAGTTCTAGTAAGTTCTAGTTGGACAGACATACCTCCATCTGTACTTGCACAGAGCACTTTTTTCTCCATTTTCCACTGAGTCCCGTACCTCTTAGACAGCGTAGCGAAGAACCTGTAAGTCACAGACCCCATAAACCATACATTTTTGGAAACTGTGAGCATTTATCAAGGTGCTAAGTGTCATGGATTTTTATATTTGTCTAGTAGCTTTGAGTAAAGTGCTACTGATCGAGGACCTAAATTTTGCGCGATTGCATGATTTTTGTTTGACAGCTTGAGTACTTTGTTCTGAATATGATTTCAAAATTCCGCTCCACTTAGCACCTAGGTATATGTGAAGGAAATCCTGTGGAGCACTCAGTTTCTACCCAGCTTCTTTCTGCGTTTGCATATTGCGTCTAAGGTATTGGTGGTACGGCATAATCGCAGATTTGACTATTGTGTCTGCGGATTCCCATGTGTGAGCTTGATTTATACTTCATTGGACTTAGTGAAATACACTGGGTATGTGGTCAAGATTTGAGCAAAATTCATCAATTATTATGGAAGTTACGGCTGTGTTCATGCGGTCGGGCCGCGAACCCAGACTGCCACCTTAACTAAGCAACTAACTTGAAGTTTTGTTGTTATTTGTGCCAGGCAGCGTTCATAACTCCTCCATCCTGGACGATTATGTTAGCTGGATAACATGCGCATGAGACTAGAACGATGGCCAGGTTGGGGGTGAATATAATGAAGGTGAGAGTGTTTGCCAACTGAAGTTGGGTGAAAAGAAGGCTGCTGCCGACAGGCATTGGGTTGCCTACCCTGAGTGTTGTCATAATGTTACCAATTTTTTTAAAGGGCATCTACATGAACGTATGATGGTGGTGCAAGTGTGGAAAAAAGGAAATTATTGTGTCCGTTCCCGAAGGAGTCTAGCGACGGCTCCTAAGACCTGGTAAACCGGTGCAAGTATGGTACATGTATGTTGATTATCACCCCTCACCCCCCCCCCCCCCCCCCCCCAACCAGCCGGCTACTAAGACCTGGTAAACCGGTGCAATTATGATGTGTTCGTCGTGTAGCGCTCTTATGTCCCAGCCTCCCCACAGCAAGGGAATGCAAGCATTCAAAACTAATGTTTATCGCCATCTGCGAAGCACAAACTGACTCTGGGCAGTCGACTCGCTATGATGATGCTCTCGTCGTTCCCCTCTATCCCTATCTATGCACCACAACTGGCTCAGACAACCGACTCGCCATGATCAGCCATGATGATGCTCCTCTCAGTAACAGCCCTTGTAATTTGTTAATAGTCTCACAGTTTCTCCCGCACACTCACTGGTGTTAACCCTTTCTTTCTTTTCATTTTGCTGACTCGTACAGCTCTATCTTTTGTTTTTGGTGCGTGTTTTTGGCCGTGATGCGAGACCTCAGGTCGGCAGAGCCATCAATGCCCCACCATCACTGCTGCGTCTCGGTGCAACCCCTGCTCAATAGTTGTCACGTTCGTCCTAGTCTCAGTATCATTGTCTTTCTTTATTATTTTCGAGCTGGGAATGTGAACATAGTAAAAAAAAAAGTCTCGTAGGGTCAAATGAAAAACCGATTACAAGTATGGTGTGTTGATTATCACCTCCTCCCCCCCCCCCCCCCCCTTCCTCCCTCCCTCTCCCTCCCTCTCCCCCACCCCCCCCCCCCCCCCCCACCACCAGGCTACTAAGACGTGGTAAACCGGTGCAAGTATGGTGTGTTGATTATCACCCCTCACCCCTCCCCATCCCCCCCCCCCCCCCCACCAGGCTACTAAGACCTGGTAAACCGGTGCAAGTATGGTCTGTTGATTATCACCCCTCACCCCCCCCCTTCCTACCTTCCCCCCCCCCCCCCAACCAGGCGACTAAGAACATGGTAAACCGGTGCAAGTATGGTGTGTTGATTAGCAGTTTATCACCTCCTCAGCCCCCCCCCCCCCCCCCCCCCCCCGCCCATCAACCCATTCACAGACTCTCCGTTTCGCCCTGTTCATGCTTCGGATATGAAACACAGTGATACGTCCCGGGAGCAGTGAATAGTGAACAGGTGAGCAGTGAATAGTGAACAGGTGAGCAGTGAATAGTGAACAGGTGAGCAGAGACCAAGGCACTACTTGTAGATCATCTATAGCTGTGCCACACTAATCAACCTATAGCTGTGCCACACTAATCAACCTATAGCTGTGCCACACTAATCAACCTATAGCTGTGCCACACTAATCAACCTATAGCTGTGCCACACTAATCAACCTATAGCTGTGCCACACTAATCAACCTATAGCTGTGCCACACTAATCAACCTATAGCTGTGCCACACTAATCAACCTATAGCTGTGCCACACTAATCAACCTATAGCTGTGCCACACTAATCAACCTATAGCTGTGCCACACTAATCAACTATAGCTGTGCCACACTAATCAACCTATAGCTGTGCCACACTAATCAACCTATAGCTGTGCCACACTAATCAACCTATAGCTGTGCCACACTAATCAACCTATAGCTGTGCCACACTAATCAACCTATAGCTGTGCCACACTAATCAACCTATAGCTGTGCCACACTAATCAACCTATAGCTGTGCCACACTAATCAACCTATAGCTGTGCCACACTAATCAACCTATAGCTGTGCCACACTAATCAACTATAGCTGTGCCACACTAATCAACCTATAGCTGTGCCACACTAATCAACCTATAGCTGTGCCACACTAATCAACCTATAGCTGTGCCACACTAATCAACCTATAGCTGTGCCACACTAATCAACCTATAGCTGTGCCACACTAATCAACCTATAGCTGTGCCACACTAATCAACCTATAGCTGTGCCACACTAATCAACCTATAGCTGTGCCACACTAATCAACCTATAGCTGTGCCACACTAATCAACCTATAGCTGTGCCACACTAATCAACCTATAGCTGTGCCACACTAATCAACCTATAGCTGTGCCACACTAATCAACCTATAGCTGTGCCACACTAATCAACCTATAGCTGTGCCACACTAATCAACCTATAGCTGTGCACACTAATCAACCTATAGCTGTGCCACACTAATCAACCTATAGCTGTGCCACACTAATCAACCTATAGCTGTGCCACACTAATCAACCTATAGCTGTGCCACACTAATCAACCTATAGCTGTGCCACACTAATCAACCTATAGCTGTGCCACACTAATCAACCTATAGCTGTGCCACACTAATCAACCTATAGCTGTGCCACACTAATCAACCTATAGCTGTGCCACACTAATCAACCTATAGCTGTGCCACACTAATCAACCTATAGCTGTGCCACACTAATCAACCTATAGCTGTGCCACACTAATCAACCTATAGCTGTGCCACACTAATCAACCTATAGCTGTGCCACACTAATCAACCTATAGCTGTGCCACACTAATCAACCTATAGCTGTGCCACACTAATCAACCTATAGCTGTGCCACACTAATCAACCTATAGCTGTGCCACACTAATCAACCTATAGCTGTGCCACACTAATCAACCTATAGCTGTGCCACACTAATCAACCTATAGCTGTGCCACACTAATCAACCTATAGCTGTGCACACTAATCATCTATAGCTGTGCCACACTAATCAACCTATAGCTGTGCCACACTAATCAACCTATAGCTGTGCCACACTAATCAACCTATAGCTGTGCACACTAATCAACCTATAGCTGTGCCACACTAATCAACCTATAGCTGTGCCACACTAATCAACCTATAGCTGTGCCACACTAATCAACCTATAGCTGTGCCACACTAATCAACCTATAGCTGTGCCACACTAATCAACCGTATACATGTAACCATCATACCCTATGGTCTAGAAAGAATACTTTTTTTCACATAATAATATACCCTATCACGTAATTTTTGAATGCCGGCATTTTGTTAACCGATATGAAACAAGAAACAAGAACATTTCAGCACTTGAACACATAAACCCGTCAAACAACACATGCGAGTGTACTTCTTGTCAGAGAGTTCTGGAGCCCAGAGACATAGGCGAGGTATACCAGCGAAAGAGACACCCACCGGCCATTTTACAAACATATCAATGTCAGAAAGAAAGAAAGTGCTGAAGGTGCAATAACAGTTAGGAGAAATTCAGAAAATGGCCAGACCAAGATCATCGGCGGCCCAAAGGAGAACAAAGCAGAATGCTTCAATCGATACAGGTGACATCAGCTAACATACACGGACTTGAACTGACGTGAAATATCCACTGGATAGCATTATGCCTGTAAAGCTCGTGTCCCTCTGTCGCCTAGTTGTAAATCATTTGAACGTGTTTGTGAGAGAACTGAGCAGCCACCAGTGCTGATCTATTTTGAGTGGCATCCATACCTTTACGGTCTAGTTCTAGTTGAACAAGTTTCTTATGGGCTTTGACGGCAGCAATGAAGCTGTTGGCTTGGTCCTCTGTAACATCTCTGAAATCATTGCCAGCGAAGCTCCAGCTTGTGGAGGTTTGGCCAGCTGTTCAGAGCAGCCGTAATAGCGAGCATCGAAGCGGCCGTCAGACCACACTCTCCCAGCTGAACTAGAGACATGCCTTTGCATTGCCTTAGCGCCTGCACAATGGCTACGATAGCATTGTTACCTAGGTTGGGATTACGAAAAAGAGATATAGAGTGCAGGGTGCTCATATTGGACAGTCCAGTTGCCAAAGCAAAGCCAGTACTTTCAGACAGATGACAATCACCAAAGTCAATCATTCGCAAATCTGTGAGCTTTGAGAGTGCAGAGAAGAACTGCAAAGCTGCATGTGCACCAGCATCACTGAAATTGCTGTAGTAGAGCTTCAAGGACTTAAGACGCTTCCAGTGCTGCAGAGCTGTCGTGATGGCAGGTAGCACGGATGCAGTCAAGCCACAGCGGGTAAAGTCAACAGTAGAGAGATTACCACTACGGTGAAGTGCACGGATGATTGCAGTCAACTTATCATTTGTAAGGTCCACATGATGATACAGTATGATCTGTTGCAGGGTTGTGAGATTAGGCAATGCACTGGCCAAAGCACCCGCATTGCTAGTGGTCAGACTGCCATACTGGAGTTCCAGCACACGAAGCTGGTGACATGATGAGAGTGCGGCACTCAGAGAGGACCATATTGGGGTGTAAAACACAATCAGCTCGTGTAGATTTCTGGCGGAATGCTGTACAGCAGAGGCGACAATATGAAAACCATGCCTGTTGAAAAGAGAAATGATTTTCAATACTCGGATCCCAGTGCAATTCGCTAATGATGAAGGACACGATCGTCATCGAACCAGAACGTATTATCTATGGCCACCAACTGAACGTCATGGGGGTGATGGCGAAGGACAATGTCAATCGAGCGTACCTCTGCAGGATGATGATCTCCGGATATCGACACTGCTTGCCTAGAAGCTAGCAAAGCGCGTATTGACGGCAGTGGGGAATTAACCTTTTCCGCTGCATTGACAGTTCAGCGAAGGAGTGAAATGCCAAACTCTGAAGATATCTTCGTTGAATTTCTGACCTCTCGAAATATGCAGAAATGTTTCGTGATTGAATCAAGTTCTCACTATGACCACGTGATGTGTAACGATGAAAGAGGTGCAAAATTTCTTCTTCATCTCCCGAGTCCTGTACCTTCTGTCGTGTTAATAACGAGTTCACGAGGCATTCGGCTTGTGCTGTATTCAGCTGGGCACAAAGCATGGTCCAGAATGTTCTCAAAATGTGCCGTTTCTGCACCGAGGATTTCCACAAGTCGAATGATACTTGAACTGTTCACGACGTCGTGTGTGGGGTGTCTGGCAAGGTACATTGCTGCTAGGTACTCCTGAGTGGTCAGATGGCTGAACCGATGTTGTCTGAAAACATTCCTTGACAGAGATTCCTCTCCTGTCACCAACAAACCTAGTTTGAACGGCCTGTTCACTGAGAGAATGCTTCTGGAGATCGACATCGTTGAAGATCATCCGCTTCTCGGCAAGCATTTTGAAGGCAAACTGTCCTATTTCCATCACCAGCAGTTGTGCCTCAACAGGTACCTCATTCCCACTGCTTGTATGTGCGGCCGTATTTCCGGTTGATAATCTGAACTATCATCTGTTCAAACATGTCTGTCATGCACTGTGGCACATCCAAGCCAAAATAGTACTGCACACATACTTCCTGTGCCATGAATGGGGTCGCCATCATTCCACCCAGATAAGCTGAACGATTAACTTCTGCGATCAAGGTCTCTGCTTTCCTCCGGGCTTAGCACGCTATGGATATACCTCTCCACATCATCTTGTTTGAATCCCATAAGCTCGATGTGCTGGTGGAAGTGAGGTAATACCGACAACTGGAATATGTCGGCACATGGTCGAGATGTTACTATGAGATGAATTCCCTGCAGCTCCTTGCCAAACAGTACATCATAGACAAAACTGCTCATGTCTTTCAGGCTCACCTCATCAAGACCATCTAGAATAAGCACTAGACTCTCAGGGTGTTCACGAACATGATCACAGATCTCCTGCTGGGCATTGCTGTCTTCAATACCGATACCGTCTAGTCCAAGTAGCTTACTCAGGGATGTAGCCTTGTGCACGTCTGGGAAACGCAACTCTCTTGCAACAAGCAGTTTCTTGTTGGGCCACAGTTCACCGGCTGCCCATTTGATCGGTGCCACCCTCGTAAAAACAAACGACTTCCCGCACCCAGCACTAGCCATGACTATCGTGCCGAGAGTCTGACCTGTGAGATGCGATGACTGATCCTGATGGGTGTTGTTGAGAAGAGACTCTAAGTTGAGGCTTTGCATTCTCTGACCCGCACTAGTGAAGGCATGCTCGGTCCGCCACAGGTCGTCGGAGCTGGACTGGAATTCATTCTTGAACTCCTTGGTCAGATTTTTCTTCGGCAGCATGACAAGGTTGATGTAGATGTTATCGACAGTGTTTGCTGTGCTGGCCCCAAGGATCGGCGAGTAGTTTTTATTGGCCTTGGTGTAGCGAATCTTCAGTAACCTTTCAGCATGGCC